TATTAGTTTTATATAATTTATACAGGGTGTTTCAGGGTTAAGTGGCCAAACTGCAAAAATGAACTAAGGACCTCAAAACAAGAAAAAAATTTCCTCTGAAGGTATGTTCGCAAACTCTTTGTTTAGGAGATATTCACACCTAAAGATTTTCGTTGTTATGAATTATTTACGTTATATGAAATAAATAAAACCTATTTATTTGTTCTAATTACTTTATCAATTAAAAGTAAACATTAACATTCATATTAAATGTTTTTCAAAGTGAAAGTATGTCCGCAAACGCTTTGTTTAGGAGGTGGATTAGATAGAATACTAAAATGGCCTGTTATCCCTAACTGTATAAAAACTATTGGCAACATAAGGATTAATACTATTTGGAATCAGCATTGGGAACTCTCAATAACATTTATCAGTTTGTAAGAGCCTTTCACAGAGTACTCATCATTATGCCTTCCATTTATAGTAATATTGAATATGCTGATGTGGTGTTTGTATAAGGTTTTTGCAATGGTAATGCTAATGCCAATGTGTGGTTGGGAATAATGGACAATATTTTAATAGGTCTGCATTTCTTGCCGCCTCGACTCAATGCTGGCTCATTTCTTGAATTTCTTAATAATGATTACTATGATTTAGTTGAACATATTCCACTACAACTAAAAGGGACATGAGGCTGCACATTACTTATGAGGTTCACGACAATAGCTAAATGGTAATTATTCCGATCAGTGGATATATAACTATCAATGGACGAGTGGCTTGGCCTGCACGCTCCCCAGACCTGACACCACTGGATTTTTTTGTTTGGGGTGGCATTAATCAAAAAGTTTATAAGAAAAATGACGAGCCTGTCTTAATGCTCAAAGAAATCACTTTGAACAGCATTTAATATGAATTTAATGTTTACGCTTAATTAATAAAGTAGTTGGAACAAATAGATAAGTTTTATTTACTTAATATAACATAAATTATTCATAACAATGAAAATCTTTAGGTGTGAATACCTCCTAAACAAAGACATAGCTTCACAGGAATTTTTTTCTTGTTTTGAGATCCTTTCACATTTTCATTGATACATTAAAAAATAAAATAAAACAATAGAAATATTTTAATGCCGATATATCGATATCGGTATCAGTTTATATTTCTATTCAGGCTAATCCCTTGAGGATTAATTGAAACATCTATTCAACAATTAAGAGAATCTTCCAATAAAACTTTACCTTTTTCGATGGAATAAAGCCGAAATGTAGGTCTTTCGAATATAGGTATCAGTTCATATATTTATACAGGTCGATCTCCAGATGAATGATTGAAACATCTATTCAGCAATTAAGAGAATATTCCAAGTGAAACTTTACTAATCTCGAGGAAAAAAAAAACCGGTACGGCAATATATCGGTTTTTGGTATATCGGTGTCTGCTCAAATGTATATATATTGAATAATGTTTCGATCCATTGCCGTTTGAATGAAAATTTTGTTAGCAATAAGAATAATATTCCAAGTGATACTTAACCAATTTTGATAGAATAAGGTCGGACGGTCGATAAATTGTTTTTTTGAAGACCTATTGCTCAAATTTATGTATATGACAACCCCTTTGATTGACACGTTTATTAGCAATAAGAATAATATTCCAAGTGAAACTCTAATAATCTCGATAAAATAAGGTCGTAAAGCCAAAATATCTGTCTTTAGAATATCGGTATCTTCTCAAATTTATGTACATGTCGATCCCTTGACGGCTGACTCAAAAGTTTGTTAGCAGTAACAATAATATTCCAAGTGAAACTAACAGTTTCGATAGAATAAGGTCAAATGGCCGATATACCTGTCTTTTGAATACCGATATCTGCTCAAATTTATGTATATGTCGATCCTTTGACGATTGACTGATTAGTTTATTAGCAATAAGAATAATATTCTAAGTGAAACTCGACCAATCTCGATGAAATGAAGTCGTAAGGCCGTTATATCGGTCTTTGGAATACCGGTATCAGCCCAAATTTATGTATCTCAATCCCGTGACGATTGATTGAAACGTTGATTAACAATAAGTAGAATATTCAAGGTGAGACTCCACCAATCTCGATATAGGGTCGTAAGGCCGATATTAGTATCTGTATCAGTCGATCCCTAGTTCACAAGTAAGTAAGGTACTTTTAAAAAGTGTCATTATTTGCTTTGCTTGTGCGCCGAATCTTGGATTTGTATCCTTAATTCCTGTAATTTTAATCAAAGTTATGTACGTCAATATTTTGAATTTTATTTTTTAAATCTGCGTCGGTTTTGGTAATCTATTAATTTCATTTTAACTCATCCGGAACTATTTTCACGTAGGTATAAAGTGGTTCAGCAGAAATGTTATAACTGAGCTTGATTTTTTTTCTGATCTTAATATTGTAAATCGCGGGGTGCCCCAGGTAGCAGGGGATTGGTGTTCGCTATTTTAAAGAGGCCCCGAAAGCGAATAGATACATCTACGAAAAGCAAGTACTTTCTGGGTCTGAATGGTCGAATGCCCTAAAACTGAACATTAATTTTGCACCCCTGCGTGGAGTCCCAGGTGTCAACGGACAGGTCAGAGAAGTTGGGTCCCTCTGGCATAAATGTGGCAGAGAGTCTGAAACACCATCTCATGTGCTGGGAAAATGCCCACAAAAACTCCTTCCTCATAACACGTCGTCACCACCGGCTCAAGTTCGAGTTGATGAGGCTCTTTAGGGGGTGCCCAGAACGAGATTTCATAGCGCTTAGTTGCGTTATGAAAATTTTTATAATGTGAGAATGTAAGATACTGAGTTTTTTAAACGTAAGTGGATGGTTTGGTTTTCAAAAAATGCACTCGAAATTCTGCAATTCAATGCAGAACAAAAAGATCTATACTATCCAACAGCTTTTCGTAGAGTATTATGCATCCTTTACGTGGATATCATTAAGGAGTAATGTCAAATACCTAAGAAATAGATTTTAAAATCGTTTAAAGATGTACTGTGCAATATAATTAATGTTTTATTGAAAGTAGTTATAACAGCTGTATAAAATTTCAACCTTATATATTTAATGAGAAAAGAAAATAAGTCTGTATTTTTAAAAACGTATGATTTAGTTGAATATGCTGGTTTAAAACTGATAAAAAATTAAACTCGAATTTGTAAAATTTTATAATGTTTTGGGAGGGGAGGGGATCCGAAAAATGTAGGAGAGGTATGCTTAATTACCTAAAATCAAGAGATACAAATCTTCATGAAAAGAATCAGATTCATTTTAATATTGATATTATTAGCTACTTGGTGAATATATATATATATATATATATTTCTAGCTAAGCTATGTTTGGATAAATAATTATAAATTAAAATATTAATGTATAAATATTAAATCTTAAAACATTTATCTAAATGTCAGCCGACACAAAGCTGTGATAATAAAAGCTGTATATCAAAATATCAAGTCATCATAACCTTTGTGAAGTTACACCCCTTTTCGTGTTCCATTACCTAGCAGAGGATGGTAATCTATTCTTGGCAAATTAAATTTGTTTTTACTTACAAAATTTTAAATTATTTTTTCGAAATTTTATTAGTGGCTTATATTTTAACCTTCTATTCAGATCAGGGATTAAAACCAGTTACAATATAGTTTAAATTCGGTATAAATATGATGAATGATGAGGAGCCTTCATCAGGGCTAAGAAAAGAACCAGATAACAAGGTATGAGAATCATAAACAATGTAGGTTAAAAATATTTAAGTAAAATGAAGTGGATAGAATAATGAAAATAACAAGAACTAAGAAATAAATAATAATAACCGTTACAAAGTGTGGAATAATGAAGTTAACATAATCAAAATAAGGTGACATAAGTACTAAATTGGTAATCTTAGAAAAAAATGTAAAGAAGAGAAAAGGAAGTTGAAGTTATTTAAGAAAGTATAAATATTATTTATAGCTGACTGTCTAGATATCTTGAAGAGAAGTTTGTTGAGGTTTTCAGTCAAAGAAAGAACAAAGTAAACATATTTAAAATAAATAAGTATAATTTATTTATTTTTACTTTATTATTTTTTTGACTGATAACCCCCAACCAACATCAATTCAGTATTAATATTATTATTACTTCTGAAAAACCTAAAAAAGAAACTTACTTTCTTAAATAATCATTTTGTTTGATATGAATGCTTGGTGAATGAAACATTAGTTGTCAGTGTTGCTTGCAATTTTATGTGAAATGCTAATGTTGAATGAAATATATGAGGTAAGCATTTACTAAAATAACTTTAAAGTCTAAATAAATAAACAAAAGAAGTCATCAAAATATGAAGTTAATAAAGTTATTCATAAATATCACTCCAACATGATGGATGGGTACTAGATCTCATGATCACACTGCACAAGATATCTATTTTGTTTAATCTTGTTCATTTAATTTATTAATTATGTTAGCCTTTAGGTACTGTTTTAACTAGCAGTTTGTTTTCTCACTTTAATCATTATTAGTATACAGCTTCAATATACAATACACAGCTTCAATATACAATACACAGCTTCAGAATTTCTTCTTTTCTAAGTTATTGTGCTCAATAATCTGAAAAGTACAGAGTTGTGATTGTTGTCGTGTGGAAAAATGAAATATGTTATGGAAATATAATATAATCTAACCTATTAAAAGAGATGCAACCAGCTATATATTCTGCATTTCACGAACTGTATGGTTATGTGATCTTGTGTCTATCATGTTGGAATGAGGTTTGTAAAGTATTATCTTATGAACATAAACCTTCTCTGGTTTTTGTATCATATTAGTATTCTTTATTCACGTTTTCAGGAAAATTAGTTGATCACCAGAGTTCTAAGTTCTGTAGAACAGTGCCTGATTTAACAAAAACATTTAATCAAGGCAGTACTATTTATAATAGTTTAAAATAAGAATTTGTGATAACTAACTTCTTTAATTGTAAATATTAGTAAGAATAATTAAATAAATGTACTTTCCAGCCCAGGAAAGAAATGTCTTCAAGGCTAAATAATCTTTTGGAGTTAGCTCAGTCTGTTAAACATGGTAATGCAAGAAGTAAGCGAATCAAACTCATTAAAACCTTAAAAGCCAAAATACCCAAAATCAAGAGAGACAAATCCGCATCAAAGGAAGAAGGTTTGTTTTAATATTTATAGTATAAGCCACTTGATGCATATATCTTCAGTTTGTTGCAAAAAGTTATTAAGTGACATTTCATAACCTCAAATGGTTAAGATTTTTGATAAATTTTATGTTTGCGAAATCAAAATTTTGCACTTACTGTAGCTATAAATGATAAATAAAAGGATGCAGGTCATTTTCATGAACTTTAGGATGTTTTTGTTAGGATAAATCAGACCAAAATTCACAAAAATCAAAAATGCACTTAGTGACTTTTTTTTGTGAAAAAACCAATATATATATATATATATATATATATATATATATATATATATATGTACATGTATATGCATACGACAATATATATATTCTAGCCAAATAAAAAGGGTGTATTCTAAATGCATTAATTGTTGATATTCAATGTATCCTTTATATAATAATATATATCTATAATTTAATGTATCAGATTCTTTCAAAACGGATGCTAAAAGTAAGAAAAGTGATTATGTTTCTACTGAAGAAGAAGAATGTACAAGCCCTAAAGTTGAAAAAAGGAAAAGGAAGAGAGAATCCAAAACTTCCACTCCTTCCCCCAAAGGTTAGTGTGTATCGATAAATCATGTTATTGCTTACATTTAAATTGAATGCTTGAAATTTAAATTTAGGTGACATTAATAATTTTGTCATTATTAATAATATTATTAATGTATTCAAACCTGTAAATTTGAATGTGGTTGTATTCATAAGTGAGATGAAGAATATAAGATCATATTATAATTATTTTGATCAATGTTCTGTCCAGAGGTTTCAAACAGTAATCATTGTGCTGCTGCTTTCCCTTTGAAGTTCATTTCCTTATTTCTTTAAGTTTTTCCATAATGGTTTCCATCTATCTTCAATGCAGTAGCTCCTTTTAAGTTATCATGCTACAATCCTGTTAGGAAAACTGCTATATGATGTCTTGGCTAGTAAAATTAGAAGCTATTTATCTTAATTAACTTAACATAGTGAGAGTAAAAGCTAAAGACAGCATATTTCAAAGTATTGACGCCATGAAATCAGTTTTTCGACATCATCAAAACAGTTAGGTCTAAAGAACATAAATTTAACTATAAACAATTAAAGTTCCAATTGATCATTAATGGGTTAATTTTGTTTAAAAAAAATTTGTTTATACAGTGCACATTTTTGTCACATTGTACTCTACAACTAGAAAAATTATTTCTATATTCATGAAGAAGTGAAATTTTTCCATTAATGCAAAAAAAACATATTTGTGGGAATATGAATAAGTGTTTGATAAAAAAGAACATCCATTCCTGTGATTATGTGAATATAATTCTGCTCACATACCTAAATACTAACAAGCGTATTCATATTTGAGGGTGTGAATTCAAGTATATTCACATTTAAAGGTGGGAATTCAAATGTATTCACTTTTAAAGGTGTGAATACAACTGTATTCATATTTACATTTATGAATAAAAAATCTGCCAGAACACCCACCTTTAACACACATCAAAAAATCTGGTGTGCGCATCACAAGACTTTTACTTACCACCCTCTTGTTAGTAGAAATAAGTATTTTCAGACAAAGGGGAAGTGAAAGTAAAGATTATAAACGCTATATTTATTAAATTCATAAACGCTATATTTATTTACATTTCATTTTGGGTATTTTTATTTGTTTAATCACCCGTATATATATAAATTTTAATTTTTATATTGCTGCAATATATACAATTAAATATTAAATAATACCAAAAATAACATTTATGAAAATCGCATATGTATATGTACATTATATTATCGGAGTCTGTATTATATTAAGCTTATGTTATTTATGGAAGACTGTTATAATCTTTTGGGAGAGCTCGAGCGTGCTTGTATTTCTTTGGTTCTTCCATTACAACTATTTTCCGTTATGTGTCATATTTATATCAAAGATTAATGTGAAATGGTTAATTATTTCAAATAAAAAAAGTTAAAGATACTTCAGAGGAAGCTAATATTGAAAATTAGCCATTTAAGCCCTGTTATAGAACATCAATGAGAATCAAACCTATGTTATATTAAAAGCTGCTTGATAATACAATGATATACTGAGTTTAGCCAAAATAATTAGAGCTATTTTTGAGAAAATCGTAAAAATGTATTATATCAATGTACAATTAGTACAAGTACAAGTACCACTTCCGGTTTGCTGATTTTGATGAAAATATTGCTGTGACATCCCAGGCTTATAAAACCTTAAATACAAAATTTCAGTTTCGTCACACACAGACCATTTTGTGGGACTTGGTTATTTGGACCCAAAACGTGTATTTCCGTTGAAAACATTGATTCGAAAATTTTCATGATCACAATACTTACCCTTACTATATATTACATATATCAGTAAGTGAAAGTAAAAATGAAAATACTTGTATTCATACTTGTAAATACAAATATCTTATCTATATTCATATTATTTTAATTGAGTGTAAACATATATACATATTTACCAATATGACTATGCCCAACTGTGATTGCCAGAAGGGATTTCAGACATACATATATTTCCGATAATTATTTTTACAAATCAATATAAAACCTCACTTAATCTTCCTTATACCATTCTACGGCAAAATTTTTTAATACTTTCTTATTACAGGCTCTTGATCCTTGGTTCTATAGAAAATCTAAAAATTTATCCATTTTGAAATCCTTGTCCTACATTTACTACCTTGCTGCTCCTTACCAACCGAACTCATATTTTTGCCTATCCTAATTCTACAATGCATTCCTCCCTGTACTGTTTTCTAAAAGCTTCTTTGACCCTAAAAATTTATTTATATTACCTATCGATTTATATAAATAACAAAAAAATTATAAATATAAAAATTTATAAATACTATAAGTTTATAAATAACTATAAATTTATAAATAACAAAAAAAACAACAACTTTAAATTGGCATAATTTACTACTAACAGAGGGAAACTACTGGTTTCTTGATTTACTTATTGATGAAAGCATTAATTTTTTAGTCGGTAATCTATTTTTATAGTATACATTATTAATTATTTAGTAAAAAAAAATGATGTTTGAAATTAAGAAGCTGATCTTTTATTGTTTTATTGCAGAAAATGTGGACAAGGGTTCCAGTGGAAATACAGCTTCATCTGGTGTGAACAGGAGAACAGCTGTTTTATTTACTAGAAAGGCAGCAGCTGCTTTAAAGAAGCCTAACCAAAGCAGTTCAGTGTAGGTATTTTTGTTTTATTATCAAGTGGTTTAGTTGTTATTTTTTTATAAATTTAAAAATGGCAAATATTGAAACAGGCGTCGGCGAGGAAGACCTTCAAAGAATGCTTCTTCGGAGCCAACTGAAAGCAATTGCTCCAGCACATTAGACAGTTTTAGTATTTATCGCAGCTCGGGTATGGAATTTATTATTATTATTTTTTTGTTTGGAATATGATTGATGTGTTACATAAGTATGGTCCAAAAATATAAACTTTAAAACTATTATTCTTGTTCTGTTTTCTACTTAGAATATCTTATTTGTGGAGTAATTACAATGTAGTAAGAAAGTTGATATTAATGAGATTGAATTGAAAATAGAAACTTTTATGTGTTTAATGTGTAAAGAAAGTTTGATTTATTCATTCTTTTAGATAAAATATATGTACGAGGAGAGACCGAGAAGTAACAGGAATCAGGCTACGGTGGGAAGGGAAAATGGGGGAACCCATTGTTTGACCCGGTGTCTGTTTGGGACACTTCTCCTGAGTTAGTGTGTTGTTGTGAGTACATCGGTTCACCTGTGAGAACTTTTTTAGTGAAACAAATTTTCCATTTCGCTGAAAACATGATGGCCTATTGTGAGTAATGGGCAGCTGTAAAATTTTGTTTCCTGTTAGGGAAATCGGCTGCAGAAACTATTGTAATGTTTAAAACTGCTTATGGGGATACTGTCCTAAGTAAAACCTGAGTCTACGAGTGGTTTCTTCGTTTCCAAAATAGAGAAATGTCAATTAAAGTCCAATCTTGTGTAGGATGCCCCTCAACGTCAAGAAGTGATGAAAACGTCAACAAAATCAATGTTCTTGTTCGTGAAGACCGTCGCCGAACCATTGATCAACTCTATGAGATGTCTGGAATATCATGGAGTTCAATTCAAAGGATTTTATCCGAAGATTTGCACATGAGAAGAGTTGCAGCCAAATTCGTCCCTTGCCTTCTCACAGGCTAGCAAACGGAGCGTCAACTTGAGCATGTTTTTAGATTCAAAATCAGCTCAAAGAGGACCCTCAATTTTTTTCCAAGGTGATTGGATTCGTGGTGCTATGGATAAAACCCCAAAATAAAGCAGCAATCAAGCCAGTGAAGACAGCTGGCTCTCCTCTTCCCAAAAAAACTCACCAAGTGAAGTGAAACATCAAGACAATGCTCATTTGTTTGTTCGAGGTGTTTTGCACGCGGAGTTCGTTCCTCTGGGTCAAACTGTCAACCAGAGGTTCTACTTAGAGGTTTTGAAAAGATTGAGGAAGAGAATTCAGGAGAAAAGGGCAGATCTTTGGAGCATAGACGACTGGCTCGACCATGATGACTACACGCCGGCCCACACCACCCTCTCCGTAAAGTAGTTTTTGTCCAAAAAGGCATGACACCGATTTTCCACCCCTCTACTTACCAAATTTAGTCCCCTGTGATTTCTTTTTGTTCCCCAGACTCAAATGGGACACAAGAGGAAAGCCACAGTGGAGGAGGTAAAACAAAAATCACTGGAAGGCCTAAAGAACATCCCGATAAATGAATTTAAAAAATGTTTTGAACAATGGAAGGATGTTTTGGAGAGGTATGTTTTGGCCAACGGAGAATAATTTGAAGGCGATCAAAATTTGGTGTAAAAATATTAAGAAATAAAGAAGTTATGATGAAATTCCAGTTTTTTTTTGTGTTCCCTCTCATACGTTAATTTATGGTAGTCATACTTACACATAAATCAACACATGCAATGGATTTTAAAGCCGTAACAGGAATACATTTAAAACTTTGGTATAAAATATCTTACTTCAAATTATATGTTTCATATCAATTACCAAGTATAGTTTGTGCAGTCTCTTTCTTAACAAACAATTTACCTTTAAGTTGTTTTAAATATTAAAAATACTAATTTATTTTTATTTTTTAGAGACTAGTGTGAAATCTGAGGAATCCCATTCTGATGATGGTTCTTGTTGTTCTGGTTGCTCTGGGAGCCGAAGTGATTCAAGTAGTGGAAGCTGCTCAGATTGGACTGAAAGTGAAGAAGGTTCTGCCCAGAATACTTCAATGGAGGCTCTTGATCAGTTACAACTTGTATGGGCAAAATGTCGGGGTTATCCATGGTATCCTGCTTTGGTATGTTAGATAATCCTGATTTTTTTCAATTTATTTATGATTTGGCTGAAATATTTTTTTTTATATTTGTGGATAATTTAATTGAGAAATTATAGTTGTGGATTATTAAGGTGTTGTGGAATAAAATCTACATTAAATCAGCATTAAGTTATATAAAAATTTTCATTTTGTTGGAGGTATTCATCAGTGCTAAAAAATGATTGATAATAAAAAAAATCTATCATTAATATTTTTTGACCAATTAATACAAAAGAGTCAAAAACTAGCCAAGAGATAGAAATTAGATGTTAGATTATGATTGAAAAAAATCCAACCACACATACTTGTGTCTTTTAATTTACTAGAAATGTTTTTACAAGTTCAGAGGAGTAAGAACTAGTGCTGATAGAAGTAAAAAAGCTGAGAAATTTTTTTTTTTTATTCTCATTCAGAAATTATAAGTAAAATTTATACATAAATATTTTTTTGTATTTTGAAAATTAGTCATATTAACATTCATTATTTAAACGTAGTGGGGAGTGAGGGTAAAATAGGTTATATCTTTATTCATAAGTATTATTTTCCATTGAATTTCCTTTGTACCATGATTGTAAGACTAAAGAAGGCCTGCCAAATAGTGCAAAATATTGATATACGATTAATTATCACACTTCTTCTGTACATACCCAACATTGCCTCTTGTTATGTATGCCTATATTATATTTAATTTTTTGTTGTTATAGATTATCAATCCTAAAATGCCCAGAGGATATGTTCATAATGGGGTTCCCATTCCTTCTCCACCTGCTGATGTGATTGCATTAGCAAATAATTATACAGAACCAGTGTATCTTGTTTTATTTTTTGACACAAAGAGGACATGGTATAATGATTTATTTACAAAAATTATGTTTTATTATATTATAACTATAACCTTCTGTTAGTTTTTAAGCAATATAATATTGTAATAGTGATTATTTTAATTACAGTATGATTATTGTATTTATTATATAACTAGAGATAAGATAATATATTTATATATATATACATACACATACATACATATATACGTATGTATATTTATTTATATTTAACTTGTTTCTACAAGTTTAAAAAAAATATATATATACATACACACACACAAACACATGCTTATCTCATTAAAACCTCTCCATTTATAAATCCGCCATGAGGAAGCAATGTTTATCTCCTGATTATTTTTTCTTCTATCTCTAACCTCTCCGAAAAAATGTCACCTTTACTTCCTTCATGACCTGATCTCACATTATGATAAGTTCCTATATTATGTTTAATTTTTTTATTCCTATTTTTTTCTAGCCCTGTTATTTCCTTATTATCTGTTTTTACTCCATATTAATATAATTGTTTGTAATTTGATTTATATGATGCTAACTTTCTGTTTTTATTCACATCTAAAACACCATTCCTTATCTTACCACTAACAATTTCATCTCTATTTATTTACACATTATTTAGCTCTAGAACCTGATATATTTCCCTCCTTATTCCTATACCGAAACAATTTTTAAGAATATCTTCTAGTAGATACTATGAGCTACTAATATGGAAAAAATGGAGCTGAATTTTTCTGTTTGTTTAACAAACCTATAAGCTTAGATCTCTTTTCAACAAGAACATTTTAAAATGTTAATAGTTGTCTTAATGCAGTTAAGTCATATTAAGTTGATTAGAATGTTCAAGCTAGTAGCACATTTTAGATTTAAAATTGTATTTTCATTAGCAAATATTGATATTAATTCACCAATTCTCTATATTTTCAGGCAATGGTTGCCACGAAACAAACTTGAGCCATTAGGCATTACTTATGAGCTGGATCATATTAAATTAACTGAATCAAGAAAACCAGCTGATAGGAAAGCAGTAAAGAAAGCCTATCAAGAAGCCATGGCTCATAGAACCCAGATTGATAAAAAAGCCGAATCACCAAAGAAAATTTAAGAGAATTTATGATACACCAATTATTTTATGTTACTAACTTGTTCGGTGAAATATTTAAATATCATCCAAAATCTAATAAATTGATGTTAGAATAGAATAATATGTTGTTAAGTCAATGTGGATCAATATTGATTTATTGTAGTTTTTTTAGTTAAGCTGATCTATTTGGCGTGAGAATACTTTATTTTTGAAAAGGCTGATGTGACGATGGTGATGTTTATATGTAAAGAGAGTTAGAAATGTATATAATATAATAATTTCTTCCAGTTTTTATTTAAGTTCTTTCTTCTGTTGGAAATAGAATTAGTAAACATGTATTATGCATGTAATGCCATTTTATTTTTTTCTAAGCATTAATATTTATTGTTTTTCACCACTATGCCATTTTAAATATGTCTATTTAATCAAATTAATGTTGTACTAGTCATGTAAATGTTTAAGACAGTCGAAGCAATTCAATTTGTTTTATCTTTATTAGTAGGATATTGATTATCACAAATGTTCTTTCTATCTGAATGTACAAAAAGACCAATGTTATTTTGTTTTAAGAGTATTTAAAAAATTAGGATTGGTCTAGATAGGTTTAGTGTACTTAAATGTTGTTATTTATTGATGTTAGATAAAGATATTATGACTACGATTCATGTGCTCACATGATTTTAATACATGTTAGAAACAATACGTATTACAGTACGTTTATTTGTTCTGTTTCTATTCTTTACCAGTATTAGTTATTTTAAATCATAATAAACTATGATATTTCTCTGTTATATGTTTTTTTTTTTTAGTCTAGGCCCATTTGATAAGATAGTTTAGAATATGTTTAAATATTTTATTCCACTCTGTTAAATATGATTCAATATTTTTTTACTTTCACTTACCTATATATGGAATATATAGTAAAGGAAAGTATTGCAATCGTGAAAATTTTTGAATCTATTTTCAACAGATATACATGTTTTGAGGTCCCCTGAGTCTAAATAACCAAGTCCCACAATATAGTCTGTGTGTTTGTGCGTGTGCATGTGCGTGCGTGTGCATGTGTGTGAACAGCCTAGCTCAAAAATAAAAAGTCGTACCAAACTTAAATTGTGTATTTAAGGTTTGTATATGGTTCTGATGTGACAGTAACTTTTTCGTTAAAATTGGCTAACCGGAAGTGCCACTTTATGTCATTGATGTGTACATATTTATGATTTTCTCAAAAAGGATTCTAATGATATTGATTAAACTCGGTATATCAGTGTATTATTAAGTTGTTTTTAATATAAGCTAGGTCTTATCCTCATTGATGTCTCTTTACAGGGCTTAAATGCCCAATGTTCATATTTGTCTTTCTCTAAAGAACCTTTCATTTGGTTTATTTTAAAAAAATAACTCTCTGTTATGGAAAGTAACTATAAAAAATGGCTAAACATAACTTTTGAAAGAATTTGATAATTGAATAAAGGAGAAAAATGTTTATCCAGATTGAAAACTAATCTCCAGAAATAATAGTCACAAGTTATACATACAATGACAGGCAAAAAATTCCACCCACTTGTTACCCATTTTCAAACTTAATATTGAAAAAATTAAAAGCCGGAGACTAAGAAATGTGCTGCAAGAAACGGCACTGAACTAATGATACTGAAAAAACATTTTGATTCCATAGAAAGTAAACATTGGAATCTAGAATCAATTCATTGGATTAAGGATTAAGGGTTATTGTCCTCTATATTAATATTTCTAATTGAAAACAAACAAAAAGATTACCTATTAATTCATTAAAAACAATAGACCAATCCAAAGCAGAAATATTTTTAGATGAAAACATGAAAAAATCAAGTGGGTGGAATTTTTTGCCTGTCAGTGTATAATATATCGTTGGAAAGTGGAGAATTTTAGAAAAAATAATATCTAGCAAATGAAGTTGTAAAAGGTAATGCAGAGTGACGAAAAAAAAAAATAATAATAATAAAAAATTTCTGAAAACTAACATTATTTAATATAAATCACATGTTACCAAGGAAATTAAATGGAATTTTGTTACTAAATGTAAACGTTTAAATTTTTTTTTAAGTTTGAAAAAGGTGTTTAAAATCCACCGAATCAAAGCAATGACATTGTTGACAATTTTATTTCAGTGTATTTGTGTGAAAGAAAAAGTGAAATATAAAAATATTTCAGGGATATGTAACCTTAAATATATTTACAGTAGTTTAATAACTCTAGATTTGATTTTATATTTAAATAATTAGTTATCTATCATCCGTTTATTCCAAAAAATGATCATGTAAACTTTTAGAAAATTAAATAAGAGAATAATTTGATGAGTTTTCTCTTTGTGATATCCCAACAGTATGCACTTAAAATTAGTGTGACAACTTTTGACCTATCTATGACAGACAATGCAAATCAGGTAATTCCATTTTAGAAATTTTGCAATGGAAAAAAAACAGATTAATGCAATCCATAATCATCGGATTGTAAAATCCATAATTAACTTCTGATATAATAAATGGGAGTTTTGTTATTTTAATGTTATTAATGATTTGTTAACTGTAAGCTTTATGCTTTAGCTTGTTTAAAAATGTACTTCAAAAATTTTATAATAGCCCAACATTACCAGAAAATAATTTATATTCAAGTAGAGCAGTGGTTTTTCTTTTAAAATTTATCATTGTATTTTTTCATATCGTTATTTCATTATTGTTATCCTGATCAGTTAATTTTTTATAAATTATGGCTTTTAACCTCACAGGAACCTAAATTAAAAGAATAGAAAGATGTTATCTTCTTGTGTAGTTTTTATTTTCCGAAAAATCAGTTTCGGTCTCTAGATCTTTAACAGGTTAAAACAATAGTATAATCCACACCAAAATAAAATAAATAACAATAATTAATGTAAAAAAAAGTCTAAAATAAAAATAACAAACACAATAAATAATTTAAAAACAAATACAATTAACAATTTGGTGCAAGTTCATAACTAAGTTATATTGCTCATTTGCTGCCACGTCATTACCAAAATTGTCATTACCAGTGCCTTCACTATTTATTATCTTTTTCTATTCTTATTTCACATTTATTTTTTATAAATGCATTTCTTATATATAAAACAATTATTTAAACTTCATATGTATTTGTATTGTATTTTTATTATTTTTCTATTAAAAATGTGATAAGTAATTAGTTTACCATGAAAGGAGGGGAACCTTTATGCTTTATGTCAAAAACTAAATTCTATTCTATTCTCTCTCTTATGAACCATTCTTATTGGCCTACATCCTTCAAAATACGTCCTGATAATCTCAATATATTTATCACCTCCCAAATTTCCTCAGGATGACCTCTCATCACATGGCTTAGTTTTGCTTTTACTTCATTAAAACGTCTCTCTTAACCCTCCCCTCCTACAGTGATTACAGGTTGAGTAAACTGAAACGGATTGAAATTAAATTAATAAATTTATAAGAACCATTTTGTTTGCTGCTGTACCATTTAACATCCATGACTCACGTGCATAGACAGCAATGGGTCTTATTAATGCTTTGTATAGTGTTATCTTTGTTGCGTGACTGATCAGTCGATTCTTTAGGAGTTGCATGATTGAATATGATGCTTTATTGGCAGCGACAATACGAGCTTTGCTTTCCTCCTCGTCCAAGGCTACATTTATTCGACTTCCAAAGTACTTAAAACTTGAGACATTTTCAGAGATGTTCTGGCAATGCCTCAAATTCTTTCTCCTCATCACCATTATCTTTGTCTTTCCGACATTTACTTGAAGACCAATTGTCTGAGCCTTTTCCTGGAAAATATTGAATGAATCTTTGATGTTTTGAAGGGACCTTCCACCGATGGCAGCATCATCAGCATATGCTAGTAATTGAATATAGTCTCCCCTATATCCAGATTTGCACGCATGATAATACAATGGGCCAATGGGTCACCTATCCTGAGAACGATGTTGATACAGAATATGCGATTGACCAAAAATGGCTTCATTATTGCCTATTTCTGATGCATTGCATTAATTTGGTTACAATATGATTCGGCATTGATGGTTTATCCAGTATTTAAGAAGCTGTAGTGTATCTAACCTAATGAAGCCCACCAAACAGTAACCATCACCTTTTTTTTATGAGATAGGGGCTTTGGAAAATGTTTTGCTGATTCTCCTTTGTTGAGCTACTGTCCAGAACGTCTACTGTTATCGTAAAGTATCCACTTTTCATCAAAACTAACAATTTTGGACAGAAAAGGGTCTTTTTTGTTTTGGCAAAGAAGTGTAGCAAAAACTTCATAACACTGTTAACACTTAAAAAACTTTTTGGCGTTCTTTTAATATATTTGGAACCCAACTTTAAAGCGTTTTACTTCCACTCACCTATATATGAAATATAGTTAAGGGACCGTATTGCGATCGTGAAAATTTTCGATTTTGAGTTTTTAACGGAAATGCATGTTTTGAGGTCTCCTGAGTCCAAATAACCAAGTCCTGCAAAATAGTCTGTGTGTGTATGTGTCGAGTCTAGCTCAAAAACGAGAAGTATGAAAGTGAAATTGGGCATTTGAGATATGCATGTTACAGGAACTGTTTCGTCAAAATCGGCTAACCGGAAGTGGCACTTTATATCATCGATGAAACAAATTTTTACGATTTACCCGAAAACGGCTCCAACGATTTTGATCAAACTCGGTATATCAGTGTAAAATTGAGTAGTTTTAATGTTATGTAGGTTTTATTCTCATTGATGTTCTCTAACAGGGCTTAAATGGCTAATTTTCAATATTAGCTTCCTCTAAAGTACCTTTTATGTTTTTATTTGAAACAATTAACCATTTTACATTGATCTCTAATATAAAAAATAGTTAAATATAATAAAAATAATTTTATAATTAACTGAAGGAGAAGTAAGAGATCGTAACAGAGAATAGTTGTAATGAAGGAGCCAAAGGGATATGAGAGCTAACCCGAAGATTAGAACAGGCTTCCATAGTAACATGAGCTTAATATAATGCGGACAATATTATTTACATATGCGGTTTTCCTAAATGTTTTCGTCGGTGTTATTTAATATTTAATTGCATAGATTACTGCGATATAAATATTAAAATTTGTATATATAAAGGTACTTAAACAAATAAAAATATCCACAATGAAATATGAATCAATATAATTGTTTACTTTCAGTTCCTCTTTGTCTGAAAATACTTATTTCTGCTAAGAAGAAGGTGGTATCTTTTTGTGTGGATAAAAAGAATTTCCATTAAGCATATTATTGTCCAAACAGAAATTGACCAACCGCTGACCAATATTATTCTTTGTCTTATCACCTCCGTGTATTCTCACCACTCTGGATTCCATACCTTCCTTCATCTCTACATTTCGGGGAAGAATGATTCATACTTAAATTGGAAAGGGCTTGAAGGAGAAGACTTTAAGCAAGTTTTATTAAAATCGTTAGTGCAGTTTCGGCGCTGCAGTTAACATCTTCATAGGATCATCCTTTGGTGACTTCTGTGTATGATATTGATACCAAATATTCTCCGGATTCTATGTATCTTAAAAATTAAAACATCAAATTTCGAAAGTGATTTTACTTTTTTTTTGGTGGATTGAAATAATAACTTTAGAGTCGTTATTTAAAATAATAAACCAAAAAGAGAAAATATTGTGACTGTTTTAATATTCGGCTCAGATTACTCATAAATTGAATTGTGTCTCCTAGCTAACGTATTTTTTAAAAACTTTTCGACTCAGTGCCATAGATAACGCTAATGC